CACTCCTTGTTTTCATTAGTTGTACTCTTAGCACCGAGGACATTTTTGATATACTGCAGACTCAATAAGTGTTACACTGCATCCAAAACATGATGCACATTTACCAGATATCTACTCTGGGATGCTTTTTTGGGACATTTTTCACTACCGTTGTTTCTACTTTTTACAGTGAATACCAGTGACCTGACTGTAACCTCTCAGACTTTGTCACTTTGGTCCCGGATTGCTGTAAATCCTGAAATCCTACAATCCCTGATCTGAAAAACAGTTGATCCTCATTTTCAGACATAGGAAGACAAATGCATCTCTGATCATTTTCGTTGGCTTGGGTGACTATATTAGCCTCAGCAGCTAACAGTCTGTGTTATTGTAGGACTTCCAGACAGGACATAACCCTCCGTGCCTGACTTGGCCTGCGTCTTCTACTTTTTCCGCTCCGCTCCAGTCCTGCCGCCCCCGACATTATTTTTATATCAAACATTCCCCATCTCCTGACGCTTTTTCACTCCTGCATGAGGTTGCTTTTCATCAATGTGGACACAAACGTCCACAGTGCCAACTAATTAATGACCCGCCGCCCGCCCCTGGTGCTTGAATGGAGCAAAAAGCCTGAGCTCTATTTCAAAAATAATTTAAGATGCTTATCTGTGTTTTCATACATTTAAATCAGACAGCCAATCACAACATATTTTTAGTCATGGTAGGAGCAGTGTGACCCAGCCACCGATGGTTTCAGAAGAAATCTGATTATTTAACCTGAGGAAATGCTGTGTAGATTTCTACATTTCCGTGAAACTTAACCCAGTGAACTTGCAGCGACGTTTTGATGAATTGAAAGTTTTTCGTTTGGGGTTCGTCCCTTACACACTAATGGCTAAGTGAACGTTCATGTGGTATCTAAATATACAAACCTAGAACTCTATTTTAGGATTTTTTCCCCTGTTTAAAATGCAGGAGCAGTGGAGTGTAAATTATTTCTGGTTACCACATTGTTCCACTGTCATCCTTTTACATGTGGTGCTGCAGCACTGCTGTAATAATCCCTGCATTGGATGTGAGGCAGGCTGGGAGGTTTGAGGCTGGGTTAAGGCACTGGAGGCCTTGATCTGGGCCTCTCAGGCCCCGGGCTCGACCTCTCTGAACAAACAGGCTGCAATACACACTGTGTTTAGCCGGGAAGTTATCAGGCCAAGGATAGTAAATGCAGCATTTTTTTTAATGAGTGCAGTATTGAAGCCTTTTACTTTTATTTGCACAGTGATCTCTAGGGGCAGAAATACAGAGAGAGAGCCATTGATAGGCAGATAGAGGAGAAAAAAGTATGCATAAAATAAATATTAAATACGTAGATTTATGCTATCTATCTATCTATCTGTCTATCTATCTATATATCTATCTATCCATCCATCCATCATCCCATCCATCCATATATCCATCCATCCATTATCTACCACTTATTCCTTTTGCAGTTTTGCAGATTGGTGCGCTGGAGCCAATCCCAGCCATCATAAGGTCAGGGCAAGATTGTACAGGGCAGTTTCCCAGCCAGTCATTGAGCACATATAGAGACCACTCATCCTCTCACTTATTCCAATGGTCAATTCTGAGTGAACGGTAAACTTAGTCCTGCATGTTTTGGAAGAAAGACACTAACAGTTTCCATAGTTACCATCAGGCCTCGAATCAGAGATCTTTGTACTGTTAGTCAAGAGCACCAACCACGTGACAGCCAGGATGAGACTGAAGCAAAACATTTTATCTGCTTGACCGTGTACTCTGCTAACATGCGTCTCATATCGATGGCATCGATCCCGTGCTTCACCAGCTTAAGTGCTTCATAAAACACTGATCCACAGCCACACTCTTCCTCATCTTACTAACTCTCCTGTGCCAAGACTGATCGCTGTCTCCGCCCGGGCCATGTGTGTGTTTGTGTGAGTTGGTAACCAACAAAATGCCTTGCGCCGTCGCTCCCTAAAGAGGGTGGGCGTGTGTGTGAACGTGCATGTGTTTGGACACACACCGAGAAACAGCTTTTATCACTTACAGCAGTCCCACAATAGCGGTCGCAGCCATGTGGTACTGAGTGCAGCGGGGGACGGGAAAGCATTGGATTTCCATTTGCGTGCACTCAAAGCAGAACGTTTACTCAACAGCCTTGTTTTCTACACCTATTTATCCGGATGTACATCACCTCGGATCCCTCGCACAATATAAAATGGAGGGAAAACACTCAGGGAGAGAGGGATAGAGAGACAGGGAGAGAGAGAGAGAGAGAGAGTGCTTTCTCTTTAAAATAAAGAGCTCAGTTTTTTGGGGATTTTTTTTTTAGGAATATTTTTTCTTTCTTTCCACCTAATCCATGTCACTGAGTGAACTCATTGTCCATTCGTATTAGCGGAGCAGCCTGCTAAACACATTTGCATGGAGAAATGACTTTCCAGTAGGTTTGATGTGATTGTACTGTCTGCCCAGAACGTCAGGCATGCGAAGAATGTCAGGCCCAGATCAAACTCTCTTAATGCTCCACACTGTGCAAAGCTGCGGTAAAACACCGAGCCATGCACTTGTAACTCCAAAAACTAATTTCTTGTCCAGTTCTCTGGAAACAGTGTGCCAGTCAGGTTAACTGAGGATGTCGTAACTGCCTAGTAACACCACCAAAATACTGCGGGATGAGTTTTCAGAGACACTCAAAAATAGGGGAAACAATAAAAGAAATAGAAAACATGTCCAGAGAGCAACACTAAACAGAACCAGCGAAGACAAAGTATTTGCGTAAAACGGTATAATTTCCTTCCTTTCTAATATCTGCAGTTTGCATGAAAATAAAAAGAATGATATACGGGAGGTATTTGCTTAAACACTTTTGCGGCGCTGCCAAAGTCTCTGTGTACCTCAAAAACAAAATTGAAATGATTTCCTCAGTTTGACTGAACTTTACCATCTCCACATGTTGGCCTCTGTTAAATCCTGGAGGGCGGCTCAGTCTTTGGAGCCACGGATGCATCGGTAGTCAATACTCCAATAGTTTCTTCTTCCCCCTCCTCTCCCACTCATTGCCTCGGCTTCCCCACTGGGAGTCAGATGGAGAAACCAGCTGACATTGAACAGCACCGGAAAAGTCTTTCTTACCTTTACTGCGAACCTACAGTATATTAGAAGTTGAATGTTCTGCCAAATATTTAATAGATTGTGACAGGAACCGGTTGAAAACCACCTGCAAGTACAGAATTCTCATAGAAATGTCAAATGAAATTTCTCTTTTAATACTATTATTTTTACACGTCGCATTGTTACTAGCAATTAACATTTATTTTAGTTTATATAATTTGACATATTCTTCATAATGAGATACTTTTTAAAATCTTTTTTTTTTATGTTGATGATTTTCTATTTGTTGGTAAAAACTGATTTCATATTATTTGGAACCAATTAGTGGCCAAAGCTAAACACATGTTTTGATTGGCTACTGATTTTGATGCTTTTATTCATTCTGCATATTTTTTTCATAACTTACCTTCTCTTTTACAGCGCTCACTCGTTCACTGGTTTGATTGACAGTTTATTTGATGTACATTTTAGCATGAAATGAATGCATTTTTTCATATAACCCAAGTACAAAAAAAATCCTTGTCCCTAAAAGCCCTTCGCAGCTTTGCTTGTATCATGTTCGTTTTTATGTGTACTCCGTGTACAGTGTACATGTAGAAGACATAAACACTGCAGCGGTGTCAATCTGGGCCTCACTCACAGGTGTTTTTTCCATGTCTCTGTAGGACCCACTGGTGTAGGCTTGGCTGAGATGAAGAGGAAGCTGTTGATCTGTGACCCCCAGCACTTTGGCGTCCCTATCCCACGTACGTCCACTCACCTCACCGTCTGGTCAAACCCCTGTCTGTACAAGAGTGTCTGTGGTTCTACCTCACATTAGCGTGCATTCCAGTAGATTCCATTTGCCTTCCAATCTTTCCTTTTGTGTTTTTCTTATCGCTCTCTCCTCCGTCTCTCTCTCTCCTCAATGTGTGTGTTTTATACATTGTTTTCGCCTTAAGTGTTTCACCAGACCACACTCTTTAGTTCTACTATTTTCTTGGCAAAGAGTCAGCATTTGGCTTCCTCCGCGTGATGCACAGTGGTTTAAAAGTAAGGCAGATGCACAGTGAGACGCAAGAAAACAACTGGAACTTTGTCAAAAAAACAAAACAAAAAACCCCAACATCCAGAAACCAAATATCTAGGCAAGGCATTTGAATCCCGAGTGACAAATATGGAAAGAGACACAGTGGATGACGTTAAATCAGACATATTTATTTTAATAAAATAAACCAAATCAAGAGTGAAATTAAGTGCAGCTGGAGTGTAAGTCAGGAACATTGATGATGTCGATGTGAGAGTATCAGCGTGGTTCGCTCCGCAGTGAGAACAGAACAAAACAAAGGACAAACACGAGTTGCCACAGAGTCAAGCCAGAGTGAATCTGTGTGCAATAAACGGAGAACTTGAAAACAGTCGGAGGTTCATCCACCGGGAGCGCTGCAGCCTAGTGTTCTTCGTGCAGCTTCCTCTTGAAGAAAGTGAGAGAAATGTACACACTCATTCAGGGGGCTGCTGGAATAAACAGGTTTGATCTGCAGCTGTTTGGAGCGGTTTCACGTGTATGGGAAGAAAAGTGAAAGTGCAGATTTAAAAATGGCTGCCGTTTTATTGTAATAAATTATTATTATTATTGTAAGAATAATTATAATAAAGGTATTCTTATTAATATATTATATTATTATTAGTGACAACACTATAAATAGTAATTATTATTATCATCATCATTATAATTATAAACTGATTTTTAGAAATTAAAATTTCCAATTTATTGTGATAAAACACTCCTGTAACATTTCTGTTAAAAAAAATAGTTTTTGTTTTTTCCCAGAACCTTTGTCTGTTAGTTGTCTCACATCAAACTTTAGCAGACACTCTGGCTGCGCCTTAGGTTTGATGCTCATCATCTGTTACATCTGTTCACATAAACGAGAACTTGCAAAATGGCAGATTCTCCGTGTATGTGTGTGACATTACACAGTGACACAGAGCATCGTGTAAGTGTTTTTTCTTTTTTTTTTTTCCTAAATCCAAAACTCCAGTACTCTTTCATTCGAGGTGTGACATGTGCCTGTTTGGTTGGAGTGATGCAGAGAGGAGCAGATCTCCGTGTGTGCGGCTGCTGCTCTCCAGGCCTGGCTGCGTGGTTCTTGTCATCTTTGCACAGTCTGCCTGACAGACTTCAAATGATGGAGAAAATGGTGTTTCTCCACCTCTGAAGACAAGCCATTCCACTGCTTCACGTCTTGGCAACCTGCCGCTCTTTCGCCTTTCCTTCTCAATTTATTTCTCCCTCACTTTATGTCTTTCTCTGTCTCTCCACATCAGCCTCCTCCCTTCTTTTCCTTTCTCAGACTGAACGACAGCTCTGAACGCAGTCCAGCCTCGTCACACAAGGGGCTGGAACGCCATGCTAACCGTTTTTTTTTTTCTCTTGTCGTCAGCGTTGGGACAAATAAATCTTTTTGATCCGTGTCATTAAGAAAGAGCACATTATTTGGAATGGTGTTGTTACCATCTGAGCCTTGGAGGGAGTCTGCCACATGACCTTGAGAAAATACGAGGTCCGTTAATATTAATTGCCATATTTGTTACATGCTGTGTGGCATAATGGATGTGTCCCAGCCCCAGTCTGACACTTGAAATGTCGCTGGTATTAAAATCCCATCGGTTCTGCCTTTTTTTTTTTTTTTTTTTCCGTAAGGGCTGTTAATGGTTCTCAAATGTGACCTGTGATGTTGGCTGTAATAGAGCCCAGACGTTGCCATTGTGACCGGCAGAGAGGATGTATGGCACAAGGAGACTCGGGAAAAGTATCTCATCTGCCTACTGCCTATTTTTCAATGTTTGATTGCTGCCACTTGACATATGGATGTGTTTAACACTTGCTGTTGTTTTAGATTAAGCTCCAAAGCATTACCATTTTTTTGCAAATTTGAAAACGTCTGGTGTTCGGGAGACCACCAGCCTGTGGCCTGGGTTTAGTCTCTCTCTCTCTCTCTCTCTGTTTCCCTCACTCTATCTCTCCCTGTCCCTCTCCCTCTTTTTGTCTTTCTGTTCCTGCTAAAATGTAAACCAGCTGCCTAAGGAACAAAACGAGCGTTTGCTCAGTAGAATATTGTAATTATACGTTTTGTTTCGAGTCCAAGTTTACTGATATTTTCCGAGGTCTGAGAATGAACGGATGCACATTCTTCTGCTGCATTGTAATTATTTTTCTGTGGCAAAAATCAGATGTCAAAATACTGCAGCCAGTGGATAATGTTGGTCAAAACATGCGGCGGCCGTACCTTACCGTGCGGGAAACTATACATACAGTGATTGTTTTGTTGTTGAAGTCTCCTCTAGCCTCTGTCTCATCTTTTCCACCGTTGTCTTGAACTGATGACAGACAGTCATTAATCTTCTTCGGTGTCTTCCTCGCCACGCATTAATTTATTGCTCCTTCATCCTTTAGCCTGAACACAGTATAAATCAAACACTGGTGTAACACAAACTTTTGTTTTTGACCTTATAAAGTAAAAACCCTGCTCAGTTCTAAGGGCACACTGTCTGGTGAGCAGAAGGATAAGTCCAGGTGATAAAAAATGTAATGGTTTGTTTTGTACTGACACCGGCGGGTTAACATCTTTACCCTTTGACCCCTGAAGTGCTGCCGACTGGACTTGAACAAAATCCACCAGTGGAGTCTGCTCATGTTCACACCACGTGCCGTACGCGACGCCCATTTCACAGCGCGGCCTAATGGTTTATGGCTAAGTCCGCGTAGAGCCTGGATGCTAATGAGAGTTCACAAACTCAATTACCGTACCAAGGCTAACACCGTCGGCTCACGCCACGGTTTTTGTTCTGACAGGCGCTGCAGCCACGTTACAAGAGGCCAACTTAATAAGAAACAGTAAACCTCTGTCAGTAAAGTGTCTGAGTGTTGGTGTTGCAGAACTGCAGGTTGTGTATTTTATAGAGCCATTACACGATGATATATACAAGGGTTGGCATGCTTTGGTACGCTGTGTTTTAGGCCTTCAGAGATGTTAATAAGGGGCTCAGTGTGGATGGTTGGTGCTGGAGGAGTGAGTCAGACAGTCTGGGTTTGAGGTAATCAAACCCTCCCTCACTCAAACCCTCCCTCACTCCCTCCCTCACTCACTCCCTCCCTCACTCACTCCCTCCCTCACTCACTCCCTCCCTCACTCACTCCCTCCCTCACTCACTCCCTCCCTCACTCACTCCCTCCCTCACTCACTCCCTCCCTCACTCACTCCCTCACTCTTTTTCTCTCATTTCTCTTTTCTCAGACACGAGCCGGCCCAAGAAGAGCCAGGAGAGTGACGGCGTGGAGTACCACTTCATCTCCAAAAGTCTCTTTGAGGCCGACATTCACAACAACAAGTAAGCACACGAGCGTTGTAGACCTAGGAGCAAAACAACATCTGGCACAAAGTGTGAACACAGAGTACAGACGCTAATGATAACAATATTAGTTCAAAAGAATTGGAACTACATTTTCGGAACTAACCAGAACATTACATTCCTGGGTCAGACACAGTGCAAACAACACAATAGTAAAAATTAGTAAAGCTCATAATCTTACTCCTTCCATCTGGTGAGGTCGCGCTCTCCTTTCATACTCTGAATTCCTAATATTTTCTTTCCTTTAGTTATTTTAAGCTGGTGTAAAAAAACTAAAATTATAACATTTTCAAAATGGATTTACAATTTTGTATTTGTTCTTCTGACACAACAAGCCAAACATCTGTGCTGACTGTTCTGTTTTGGTCTACGGTCGAAGGAACAAACAAGATTAAACAAGTCATGTTTCTTTTTTAAGGCAAGATTGTTCAAGTTGATTATTAAACAGCCGTTGGTCAAGTGGAATTGTAGCAAATTCCTCGTTCCCCTTCAGACATTTCTAAAAATAGGTTGTGAGGATGTAGTAGAGATAGTACAAAAATGTTTCATTTTTTTATCATCTTTATAATCTCCCATTGTCAGTTAAAGTCATAAAACTGTCCTTTTATATACAAACTTTTTTGGCAGACGCCCCTGCGTGTCAGAACCAATCAATTCACAAAGAATTACTCATTTTTCCAGTCATAATAATAGCTGTTTAGTGGAGTGTCTCAAAGTTGAACCATTAACAGATGCCATTTTTAGAAAACGTGAGTGATATTTTGGATCCTTCAGTGCGAGGAAGACGACAGATTCTCCCCGCTCTGTGATCTGATTTAAACCAGCAGCCTAACCTTTCCACTACTAGCATACACTACACTAAACTACACACTAAAAACACACTAAAAATTATCATTTGTAAAGATTTATATGTGTACTTTTTTTCCTCTATTGCAGTGGTTCTCAAACTGTGGTGCGAGTCTCTCTAGTGGTACACAGGGAAAATTCATATTTTTTACATTTACATTTTCAATTAAATAAATCTGAAACATACCATGGTGGATGCTAATAGTGAAGGCCTGTGCTGCTTTATTCTAATGCTGGTCATCATGGTGCTACTCAGAGAGCGCAATGTTTTCTCAGGTGGTACGGTGTATAAAAGGTTTGAGAACCACTGGTTTAATGAATAGCAACAAAACATGTTATAAATTCTGTAAAAAACAACAAAACAAAAACAAGTACAAAAACAGGTTAATAATGAGACTCGGCATACATGCTAGCACTCCTGCCACGGTGTGAGTGTGTGTTACTGTACAAATGTGAGGTAGTGTTGACAGGACCAGGCCCAGTGTTGATATAAGATCTCTACAACCTCTCTCTCTCTCTCTCTCTCTCTCTTCCCCCCTCTATCTGGGCAGCTGCACCACAGCTTGCCTTGACATTTGTGGCCAACAAATTGAAATGGTTAGTTGTTATAGTCATAAGAATGATTGATGCCTTTCTGCCCGTGTGACACAACCTGGTGGAGAACAGAAGATAAACCAAAGGGCGCACATGCAAACTTCACACTCACGAAGCACACACTCAGACGGGCGAGTGCCGGTGATGTCAGAGTGTGCACTCAGACGGGCGAGTGCCGGTGATGTACTGTGGAGTGTCAGAGCATGCAGAGAGAAGGGACTCGGGGGGCCGTATATTTAGGCCGTGTTGCGGTATAGGTCAAGGCATGCGATGTTTTTCAGGGAGTCGGAGGGTTGAGTGACAGGGCTGTGATGTGGGCTGGATGTGTGGGACACTCCACAAGGAAATTACAAGGTAGCAGCAGAGAGAGAGTGGTGAGATGAACTTGTTTGTGTTCTGCCTCGTTGCATGCGGCAGAAACAATGCCCTGCGCTCTGAAATGAAAGGCCTCTGAAATGGGGCCACAACAACGTGTGTTTAGCTCGAACAACTTTCCCAAGGGAAGCCTTGTTCTGTGTCAGAATGGCGGCGGTCCATACGCTCAGCTTCGCTGGCACGTCTCCTGGTAATCGCTATACCTTCTCCTCTGACGCCAGGAAGTGCTGCGAGGTGTGAACTCTGAAAAAGCAGGCCACTGCAAACTCCTAAATGAATTTTCCAGATCACAATATCCGCAGTTGTAGCGCGGTGTTAGTTAGAATGATGTAGTCTCTCCGTCCAACGCTCGTCCATAGCACAATTTCCTATGAGTTTGATTTTTTATTTTTTCCACCTTGTTGCTCTGCGCTTGTATTCAGATAGAAACACTGCTGCCTTTTGCCTCGTGACATTTGATTGGTGCGAGAAGGGGAGGATTATCTGGTGGAAAACAGTTTGATTGCTTGCACTCTTGCAGCCGTCGAAGCCCTGGTGGATTAACAGAGCTTTGTGGTCTTTCTGGAATAAACAGGTATTATTGATTGAAAGACTAGCAGAGCAGATTATATGAAAACGTGCGTGGCCAAGGAGTCTGGTTTTGCACTTGTGCTGGAGAATGCGATCTTCTGATCTGTCAGCCGCTGAAAGAGTAATCCACCTCTCTCTGTGGATTTGAGGGTTTTTTTTATATCATTACGTCTAAAATGTATCTCAGGAGTGTGTCGACACTGTCTACAAGATTAGGAAAGGATTATAAAGCTTCTCCCACGGGACATTACATTTAACCACCATACAGAAAATATCAGAATAGGCATATTCCTGCTCAACAAAACCTCTGCTTGTCCTCTCTGTTTCTTCCACACTTCAGGTTCATCGAATATGGCGAATACAAAGGGAATTACTACGGCACGAGCTTAGACTCCCTCCGCTCCGTCGTCTCCAAGAACAAAGTGTGCCTATTTGATGTCCAGCCTCATGTGAGTGGCACAAAAACCTTTGTCCTTAAATCTGCATCACACCATCTTTCCCTCCACCGTATTTTTAGCAGTTCGGCACCTCCACCCTGACGTATCTCGGGCACGGATCTCTTTCATCCGGCCTTTTTGGCTTCTCGGCTCCTTACTCAATTACCAAAAGCAGCTTTTTAAAAAGGGGTGCATTTTGAGTCAGCCATTAGTGCTAATTTCCTCTATTTGGAGATTTCCTTTTTGGCTTATGTGTCTTCAGTGGTGGCAATCAGACCCTACACACACACACACACATGCCGCCACCATGCAGCCTGAACCCCAGGAAACCTTGAAGCGCATATGTCATTAATCCGCTACAACATCCAGGTTCATCACTTTTTTTTGTTTAGTTTGATTCTTGGAGATAATGACACACAGGCACAAATAAATCAACTATTATATATTTTTAAGTCAGCCTGGCGTGTCCTCTTACCGTTCCAGTCTGAGGAGGATGACTCAGTGTGGTGCCCTCAGGTGACGAGTCTGAGAAAGCATCTGTGAATTCTTTGCTCCGACGGACATTTCTCGATACACTCTCTTTTGCTTGCGTGCCGTCGACAGCGTAAGAAGGTAGTTATTCAACCCTATCTCCGCCATGAGTCCAACGTGACTCGGGCATCAGATCAGTATCAGTGTCAAAGCATGTTATTGCTCCCGTGTCGACGTGCAGAGCAAGTGATGAAAGCCACAAAGAATGCTCCCCGGGGGTTTCTCTTCTTACCCTCTCTGTGGTTTTTATCTTTTCTCACATTTTCTGTGGGTTTGGACCCACTGCCTATTAGCACAGTGAGGGACCCTGCTTACAGTGCCAGAGCCAGGGGAGGCTTTTAACCCTGACGCCACTACTAACTAAATCTGACCTTTCTGTTACCCCGCAAGGCAGGATTCCAGGGTGTTGTTTTGAGCAATTGTCACCAAAAAGGTCAAAAAAAGGCAGTGATGTGGACGAAAATGAAAACACCACATACTCTGTTCAGGCACAGGCCTGTTATTTGTTTCCTCCACCCATACATTAGAAAAAGTCCTGCCCAACCTTTTTGGGTTGAGACCCCTAAAATACAACGACCTTTAACCCAACATCCTGCAGCTGGCCCCACAAAGGTAATATTTTTTTTTCTGTAAAATGGAAATACGTTTAACGTAAAAAAGAAGAATTGAATTTTGTGCCAATTTCGCTGGAAATAAATCACAGTGTAATTTACTTTGTAATGGACCAAAGCAGCGAATGATACATTTAGTTGATTTTACAAGTATAGAGTATTTTCCCTCTTTGTTCTTACTCTCGTTTGTTTCTAACCAATCAGTCAACTTCTAATTGGCCCTAATTTGACGCAATTAAACTGAGCCGGCAGTAGATATTACAGTATTTTCTAAATATTGTTACTGCTGTTGTTGCAGCGAGGACGACCGTCTCACCTGTGGACTTCTATGTCTCCGTATTCTTCAAACAGCTTTCAATTCCATTTTTGTTTCTTTCTAGGTCATAAAGCACCTGCGAACGGCAGAATTCAAACCCTTCGTCGTGTTTGTGAAGCCACCGTCGGTCGAGAGGTTACGAGACACCAGGAAGAACGCTAAAATCCTAACGGGCAAAGACGACAAGGGGTCCACCAAGCTGTTCACGGTGAGAACATGCCTCTCAGATCGAAACACGTGGATCAATAAAACATGTTGACTGGAGCAGTTTGGACAGCTTTAAGTACCAGATGGAATATGTTTGCTTTGATATGCAATTCAGCTTCATTTAAGGTAGATTAACGTTTAATGAAGCCTGCGAGGAAATTACAGCAGAAAATAACAGGATATGGCTAATAAGGGTCTCATTAAACCAGGACAGAGAGGAATATGAAAGGCAACGCTACTGACGAAAATGACTGCAGACAAAAGGGCGTCCAAATAAAATGGACTAAAGATATTAATAAACTGCTCTTAGCACAATTAATTAACGTGAGTGATTGTTCCCAGTGTCAGCGTCACAAAGCAAAGAGGGTAAACGCTGTAGTTGGTGGGCCGATTCGTAGCGAACGATGACGATAATGAAAAAAAAAAAACAGTAAAAACACATGGCTTTAAACCAACCAGATTAGCTGCACAAGAAACAACAGAAACACTATATGTGCACATAATGTATGTGAGTCATGAGGTCATGCCTTACACACCTTCATCCCGCTCCAGCAGCGGGACAGATGAAACCAATTAGACAGTGTGTCTGAACTACTGTGAACCAGACCAGCAGAAGAGGGAGGGAGGCAGGGGGAGAGAGACCAACTCAAGGTAGATGATAGTTTTCCCAGCAACAGCAGGTTCATGCCTCGCTGTGCGGCCATGTTTGGATCCTCCCTTACAGCTGGAGGGCTACGGTCCTGGTCGTTGATGCTGGGACATGGCCTGGGGGAGAGCAGAGGAAGATGATGATGATGTACCAAACTACACCAGCAGCAGTATCACCTACAAACCAGCATTGACTGTATTTCTCAAACTCCTCTTGATGTTCCAGTTGTTTTGGTTTTTTTTAGCCTCAGTAGTGACCTCATGCTGCACAAAAAAGTCCCGACTATTTGAGCCACCACAAGTTCAGAAGTCCTCCTCATTATGACAAATCAAGCTGTCTGTCACCGTACAACCGCTCGGTTTACACAATGCTTTGTGCAGGGCGTAGCCGCAGGCTTCGAGTCGTTTTCTGCAGCAGTGTGTTATTGTGAGCCGCAGTGGCCACAACAATGAAGGCAACAGGAAGACCAGGACCTATAATGTGGTCGGCTTGAAGAGACTTAAATGAACAAGTAGCAAGTAGCACAATATCACATTAATGGTCAGCCAAGTGGCCAAGCCAGAGCAGCAATATCCCATTATGTCCATTTTCTTTGTGTGCAGCGTGGAACCCGAATTAGTATTGACCTTCAGATACAGAGCCTGTTCTAGTCTGACGGAAGTTACTGTCCCATATAATATAAAGTCTTAATTCAAGTATCCATCCAATCCTGTACAATGATACTGGATGGTGATAGTTGTGTATATGGACCATATATATATATATATATATATATATAAAGCCATATATTTATTTACATATATGTATATATTATACATATAAGTCCATTATGCACAGGTTCAAATATACTGACAGGCATTGGATGACGATGATTAGCAGTAAGCTAAATTTTCAACACTAGTTAAAGGTTAAAGTTTTGCTGTATATTCATTCATTTTAACCATTGTTTCATATTAAGATATATTGTTGCAGTTTCATTTTTTAAATCTTACTCTCTGTGAACATTAAGAGACGTTTTCCTACAAACCCGCCCAATGTCACTGTGTATTTAAATACAATGAGTTCACGGGAAGACATTTTACGCCACTTTTGAACTGAACACAGCGTTCACACTTCTGTCAAGCTTTCAGATATCAAATGTCCTGGGAGTTTCTTTTGATCGTTTGGTTGCTACACGGTTAGCCGCTGTTGCCCTCCTAAACATCGGGATAAAACCTGTTTAACTTGGTGTGAACACAGAGACGTAAATCAGACGGGTCCTGCGTGAAGCCTCAGACACGTCAGACTCAACAGATTTGCCGTTAAAGGCTCTCAAAGAAGAAGCTGTCGTTGGGTGATTCGTCTCAGACGTTGTCTCTCCCGCGCCAGCTGTTTTTCTCCCAGAGACAGGTCTGCTTTTATGATAAAGGCTGAGTCAAACAGTCGTCTCATTGTTTCTGCAGAGCCGTCTGACTTTAGCAGCATTGTTTTAGCTGGAGACCACTCAGAGGGGTTTTCAAGAAGTCACCTAAAGAATGATGGCGAAACAAGCAAAATATGATTAGTTTACATCTGTTACGGGTTTAGCATTTTTTGCAAAAAGTGAATGCAGGTGTGTGTGTGTTATTTTCACCCAAGTTCAGACTTGTGTGTGTGTGTGTGTGTCTGGGGGTGGGTGATACCTGTGGCTGGCACATGCCGGAAGTGTGTGAAAATGTTTTTGGTCCCGTGAGGCAAATTTTCCTCTTTAGAAAGAAATTGCAGCTAAACGGACTAAGAAAGTATAAACCCTAAATTGTGGTGTTAGAAAAACAGCAAAAACGTAGGCCATAAAATCCTTACATGGTTTGTAGCCTGTAGCAAGGAGAAACATCAGAGGGGTAACCAAGCTGAGGCTCAACAGTCTAACAAAGTACTTAAGCAGGCACAAGACACTACATCATTTCATGTGGAAATTAAGCAATCTAATAGCAGGCGGGATAAATGAGTCCCCAATGCTTTTTTTCTCAAGTTTGGCTCTGAAGAAGTGGCATCAACTCAAACTACCCTCTGAGGAGAGCGACCCAGCACGGATGAGTGAACGCCAATGAATATCCACTCGCTCATACATGCCCAGATTTCCATTGGCCTCTTTTACCTTCATTATATTCATTTTCTGCCCTTTTTGTTTCATCATACATTATTTTGTTCTTTTCTCTTTTCTTTTTTTTTTGCTCAGGTTTCTGGTTTTCTTTCCATCTCTCCACCCTGCTCGCTGTCCCCTAAGTGGCTTCCTGCTGTGATTAATGTTCCTTTACCTGGAATGGCCTAACTAGAGACAGACACAGAGACTCACTGCTGGACAGTGGAAATATTACACACACACACACACACACACAGAAACACACTTAGAGTGGAGTCTTCCAGGTTCACTAAGTTGCCAGGACAGGTCAGAGAGTTGTTGTGCAGGAGCTGGACACAGTGGTCATCCTTAAATCATGGTCCAGCAGTAAAAGTCCTACGGGGGCGTCTGTCAGGATGACAGAGTAGAGTCCCTCAGTGGAACACTTCCTTTCACGAGCCAGTAAAACTTCTGCTCCGCCTGAGCTGCTATGTTTGAGCCTCTCAATCCCATGTCCTTCACAATAGACGTCAGGAATATAAGTGTGGCACGGGGTCGCGGTCTGCTGCGGGATGCCCCGCGTTCAAGGCGGTCCGGGCAACAAAATCAGACAGGGCTTCTTTGAGTGTCACTGTGAATGAGTTTTTATGTGTAAGGTGCGCAGTTTAATGCATTACGAAGCGGAAAACCACCAGAAACATTTGTGAAATAACTGCTGGCTGCAAGGAGGCTTCCTAAAAATGGACTTTTCACTTTTAATAAGGACATGTTTATGTGCTTACACATTGTGCGCGGAGGCTCGCAGCTTGAGCCTGCACGTCTGTGGCTGTCGGAGCACATGTGTTTGACTTTCTGCTGCATGAATGTGCAACTGTATGTATTCATAATTGTGTCGTTGGCGGAGGGGGTTTACTGTAAAAACCATATCTGTCCAGAAAATAAGCTGTGTGTTCGGCGTGAGGGGATAGCGTCTAATGAATGCTGCCACTTTGGCCCCCACTGTTGAACCCAGACCAGGATCGGCCAGAGCCCACAAAGCTGAAAACAGAAAACCTCAGAGGGACCACCGTGGAGAGATACATCCCTGGGCTCTTTCAGAATTCTCTGTCCATGAATGCAGGAGTCCCAGATCTGCCATATTTTAAACCTAACCTTGAGTTTAAGAATAATGTCTATTGAGTTAAGTCACAAAGGTTTGGGAAGCACTGATCTAAACTAAAGTCAAAACTGTAATCTGTGGTCCATGCTCTTTGATAGAACCTTCTGAACTGTCTGAAATCAGCATTAGGTTTTTTTCGCTCGAGCCTTCTCTGAGGACACAGGGATGATATCCAACATGGAGTCCCAGCCACTTGTCCAGCTAACAAGTGGAAGTGTGGTTTATGCAGTCCAGTGTAATAAGGACCGTCCTGACCCATACATTTGAGAAAACAAATAAACACTGAGAGCCAAGTCCGCAGACTTGGACTCAGATGTCCACTCTGGATGTTTGGGAAAAAGGGACACTCTTTTGAGGATACGGCCTGGCCAGAGGAGACGGGATGATTTCATATCTACGTCACCGCACAGAAACTTTTACTCAATAGACATACAGTTATTGAAAAACGCCAAATGTCAACCTCCTACAGGTCGGTCTTTAAACTGTTTGCTGTATTTATTTTTTAAGCATAAAAAACTAAAATCTTCTCTACACCGATTTATCCCATAGACTTTGAAAAGTGTCCCTGAAGTTATGATTAAAAAAAAAAAAGAGTACAATCGACCCTGAACTCTACAACTTTCAGAGGTACAGCACATCAAAGGGTCATCAACTGGGGACTTGACCTCACTGACCTTCTTCCTGACTCGACTTCCCAGCTTGCTCTTTGTCCGTTAGGCCACACTTGAAGAAAACACGTAGTAAATGTTCTGCAGAATTCCCAAAGCCAACTTCCATAGTTCCATTCAGCAGCCACTGCAGCAGGTTCACACGGCCCTCAGCTCTCCGTCCCTGGCAGTAAAACACTGTCTGCCAGCTGTCGACTCTCCATCACACATTAAAATCCAGACCAGCAATATTGCAGTATGTTTTACATGTTGGTCTTCGGTAAATTATGGTTATGTTTTGTCCTCTGCTTATTTTGAGGATATTTTGTTTGCTTTTTGATTTGGAGAACCATGTGGATTCTATGAAGGAAATGATGAAAATTCCTTGAGGTCAGGTTGCTGTAAAGAGAGGTTTTAGTATGTGGTCAGTGCCAGGGTTCAAGTCTCTGGGAGGTTATAAGCGGCTCCGTGCGGGCCAGTTTATGTTTATTTGTGTGTCCAAGGCCATGCAATTTGTGTTTACAGTATGAGAATTCTCTCCCCTCTTGTTTATGGCATTTTCTCTCTGCAGCAGATGGGCCGCCCTGGAATAAATGACTTTTTTACGGTTTGTGCGTATAAATATCTCCCTCTCCTCGTTTTCACCCCAATAATATTCCCTGCTTTCTCCTCCTGCGCTTTTCACAGGAGGAGGACTTCGAGGAGATGGTGATCACGGCTCAGTCCATGGAGAGCCAGTATGGTCATCTGTTCGAGAAGGTCATCGTAAACGATGACCTCACGGCGGCCTTCGGCGAACTGCGGTTGGCGCTAAAGAAAATTGAGGCCGAGACTCACTGGGTTCCTGTCAGCTGGACTCACTCCTGAGACCTGTGCACCCGCACTACTGTGAAAAGGAAAAGGGAAGGGCTCTGACAGAAAGAAGTGATTTTTTTTCATATCAGAGGGATTATGGGAAAAAAACAAAAGTATTGTACAAAACTGCTGTGTCACCATACCTGAGGTGGACGCAGATAAAAATCAGTTTGGATCTCGGCTGCGGTCTGCACACGAGTCTACATGTCTGACCAGATCTGATGCAGCTCAAGCTCGACGACCTCCGTCCAAAATGTGGGTGTTGGACGTCCAACTGTTGGTCCTCAACCATGGTCCTAAACTGGAGCATTTTAGTCCAAACCAGAATGTGGAAGGAACCTGGATTCTCGTAGCACCAGCAGTCCTGCAAGCATATCAGCCGCACCACAACCAGGACGTTTTGTTTTTTAGATGATTTATCACCTTAGAGCAATAGAAACCAAAGGGATCGATGTAGCTTTGTCCCCGGGGACAACATACACACATACATGCGTCCATGTGTCAAAGACCACCATCTCTGAAGGGAAAAATGGGAGAGAAGACGAAACGTTCGCCTTGTTTTGCTAAACATCAGTGCTTCTTATGATCTTGAACCCAAACAAAACACTTTCAGGGTACACTCTCGTGCAAAAAAAAGGCAATAAGTGTAATTTAATTTAAGAGAAATTAATATATTTTCTTATGACTTCCAGTTTTTATTTCCATACCTTTTCTAAACAGGTCTCGACTTCCAGAGAGTCCCGCTCTGGACGCTAGCCTCCACTGACAGCCTCGTGCACCAGAGGCGTCTCTTCTTTCAGCTCGGTGTTTTGCTTTCATCACGCCGGGGCTACTTTTCCGTCTACAAAGCTCATAAAAAGCTTTTTTATTTAGGTGTTATATATTCCATTTAGGAGCGTTTCAAAAAAAGCCACCCTTCACATGAAGGTGCCCAGCATAACAGCTTTGCCGTTTAACGTCCCAGAACTGAACACCCTTGGCCGCCTCCAAGAAGAAAATGTTCACTATTCTGTTTTATAAGGGTGGAGGCTCTATTTTTATTCACATAAAAATGACTGGGGCCAAGCTGCTAGTCGCAGGGCCACAGCACGTTCGCAGGACTTTAATTTAGAGCAAAACTAAGTAGCTGCTCCCGCCTTTATGAGCATTAGACTTTTATTGCTAATCTGAGTCTCCCATTACCGCTCTGTCTTACTCATTTTTACTCGGTACATTACTTATTTAATTTCATAGAAATATTTAGCAGTCACAGATTTTAAATGTTTAATGGTTCTGTCATTACCATTAGTCGTCATTACTTTTCTTGTAAGTGTTGCTCGTGTTTTGCTGAATTGTGAAAACCCGCTAAGGGTGATTTAATGGATTAAAGGGCAACACTTTGGGAATGTGAATGTTCAGTCACAATAATTGTAGACTGTGGGACACTGAACTACAGGGAAACACCGTCTGGGGTTTCAGTGTTTGAGGAGAAATATTTTCTATAAAGTTTTTGGTGAGAAACCAACTTAATGCTATGATAACCTGTCTCTCTGTTGCCCTACAATGGACCTGGAAGAACTGTCCTGACCTCAACCAATGACACCATCATTCACAACCCTGAAAAGAGTCAAGCGGTTAAAGAAAAAGTAGTTTTTCTATTTTTATTTTTTTCTTTGCTTTTTAAAAGGCACTCAGGAAATACCTTCAATAATGTATTCTTACTATTTTGTCCTCCAACCCAATAAGATTATACCTCAAATTGTGTTGTTTGGATTTGTCCACAGCAGCCATCATCATCCTTTCTGAGTAAATTTGAACTTTAACGTGATTTATTTATATAGCACTTTTCATTTAATGAATGTAGCACAAAGTGCTGTACAGATAAGAGGTTAAAAGACCCCAACCCCCTACACATAATGTTAAAAGCCCTGTGTGCTGCTCACACTGACACACTGATGGTAAATAGAGTTACATCATCTCTTTCTGTTCTGGCAAATAGAAATGGTGTCTATGTGTTTACACGTCATTTTTATATCAGTACCAACTGTAACGAGGTTTTGCTTCTATACATAATTTGGCTTCATTTGTCTGATTTAAATCCTCTTTATTCACTTGTTTTTTTTTACTGTTTGGCTCCATCAATGTTCAATTCCAGGTCTTAATACTGCATCATTTTCATCATTCTACTGTAAATGCTCAAATTCTTCATCATATCTTTTTTTCTAGTAAACATTTTAAAAATGACTAATATCACTCTTATGTTTTGTCACAAAATGACTAATATCACTCTTATGTTTTTGTCTCTTATGTTTTTAAAGACATTCAAATGTCTTTTAACCTGTTTTTTTTTTTAAATCAGGCACATTGCTCAAGATCTGACTTCTTTTTCCTCCAAAATATTTCGTATATTTTACTGCCGTAAATGAAACACTGTTCAAGACAAGGTATTTGATTCACGTATTTCTTGCAAAATGCTACAATTTAAACTAAAGCCGAGCCAATTAAACCCATTTGCGAGGTTATCCATTCATGTCAGTCGCACAATGGGATGAGGGAATGTCCAGTATTTGTTGAATCGTTTCCTGAAGTACCATTAAAGTCTAGCCCGGTATTTGGCTTCCAGTAAATATACTCAGTAAAAATATGTTCAGGTGCTCAGCAGAAGACCTCACCAAATCATTAAAACAACATAAAAAAAACCTTCTTTCTGTGTATGTGGGTCTGTAACAGTGTTTTGTATTACTTGCTGGTTATTTTTTTCTCACCTAGAGGTCATTATAGGTCATTATAAAATCTGAATAAAAAAAATCATATTTTACAGGGAGCTGTAAAAATGAATTTAATTGCTTCATTTCAGTTAAGCAACTCGTGATCCATCTCAGATGTTGGATTTCTGTCAGACCATCCAGAGTAGCAGATTAGTCTTTGAACTGATTGCAAGAGACTGTAGACCGACTAAAATGTTAGTGAGGACAGCAGCTTCAATACAGTTATAAAAGTAAGTTACATTTTGAAATTACACCTTTGGTCTTGACATTTCTTGACATTTACACCATTTGGTCTTGAATATTTTCCCATATTCAAATTCTATCATTTTGATTGGTCACAAATAAATCAAAGTGTAAAACAAATCCATCTACCTGCCTTTTTTCACTTGTGCTGTTACAGAAAAGGACACGGACATTTCAGTGGACCGTAAGGTGGAACCGGCCAGAGTGCAGTGCAGCCACATTTAACTGCAGTACAGTTTCCTGCTGCAGATGTGTGCTAAAACACTAACCAGACCTTAGAAAACAGCGGCCCTGTAAACAGGTGAGGTGGAGAAACTGCGCTCCTGAGGATTCCAGCCTCCAGCCGGCGCCCCCCCTCGAAGGACACTGCGGGCCCTCCGCTTGATGAGGATCCAAATAAATCCCCCAACGATCCAAATATTGTATCGTAACCTTCGCTATTTTCCAGAGCGCTCACTTTGATGGTCCTGCGGAAAGGGGGAACGGTACAGGAAGGAAGAAGAGGAGGTGGCAGAGGAGGTCAGCAGGAGGTGAAACAGCATTACACACACTACCAGACCACAAAGCTCTCACTTTGTGTCTTTGTCCCACTCTGTCTTTCCGCGCTAATCAGTAAAACAGAAAAGGGGACGAGGACTTGGACGTTGCCATCGTCACACTCTGTGCCCTCTGCGCTAACGCAGAATAAATGAGCACAGAGTTTCCTCGTCCAGAAGTCATCAAATTCAATGGGACATGTTTAACACCAGACAAACGCCACCCTGCAGTGTCAGGGGACAATGACATAGTTTTGGTTAGGAGGTAAGGCCACGTCCCGTCAGACGTTCTATGTTTTTGTTTTGGTTTTTTTCTTTTGATTTATTATGTCGATAATTCTTTACGAAACAGGTTCCAGTCTGTTTTCACATCACTGACAGAGTTGTCCTTAGCCAAACTGCAGTTGTGTTTTACTTTCATAAGCTACATAAAACATCATAAATCATAGCGGTTTAAAGAAAAATAAAATACTTCTGGAAACATATTCTCTTCCATATCTTCAAACTTTTTCAGACATCCATAAATCTTTTCTATCTTGGCCCTTTTTCTGAAAATACTAAGATCAGAGATTTAATCAATAAACTTTAAAAACAATAAATAACTTTATTATTTATTTTATTGTTTATTAATTAAATTGCTGATTATCAGCTGACAATAAAAATCTTAATTTATCCCACAATTCCTCAACCTTCTTAGGGTCCAGGAGCAGCTCGAACCAAAGTCTGGCAATATCAGGTAAAATCTATCTATCCATCCATCCATCTCTCTCATCTTGTGTCTTATTCACTCTTCTTCTGGGATGTAGTGGTTTCAAAAGTGGTGCAAGTAATCTTTTCACAGCCCTGTTTCTGCCCTGGAAGTCTTAAATACTTCTTAAATATCTTGGTACCAACGTTTGATGATGTTTGATGCATGACCTGCAGCGTACTGTTCAGCTTTATGACTTATCAACAGCATCAGTCCTTCAAGCCAAAGTCGGAACTTTTCATTGTATCATTCTCACAGCACAAGAAACATGGTTCCTTAGATTTCCTCATAAATTGATTGGGATCAGTATCATGTCCTACTCTCTGAGTTGATTGTATAGTATCATAGTATCAGAGAGGGGCGGTGCTCAGCAGTAGCCGCAGTGGCAAGGTTAAAGACCATAAATCTTCATACAGTTGTATTGAATTCTTCCTGCGGCTGCTTTGACATAACAAATCTTCCTTTTCCTCTGGACTCATCCTTATCTGTCAGCCTGTGACAAGTGAGCTGCCATGTGAGCACAACCTCACATTAGCGATGGCTTCTCCAGCTCTGGGCCTGTGTTTACCAAATTTAAGGACCTGCTCGGCGTCCATCCTGCCTGTGGTCTGGTGACTGTAATGGTTTAGTAGAACATACGAGGAATGTAAAGATTTACAGTTGAGCTTTGCTGTGATTACTGTGGCTCCTGTTCAACTGCACTTAGATCTCATCAATCACTCACTTTCTTCTACTTTTTGATATATTTATTTTCAGTACCATAAATCCCGGAGTCAACCGACCTTGCTGTTTAGGAGATAAAGATTCAGAGATGATCAGACAATCGGAGGATTTACTGAGGGAAAAACAGAAAGTCTGTCACATGATAGAAACGTCACATGTTCAGTTTATGGC